TTTCACTGGTGGCCATCGACAGAACTAGAGGCAACGTCCGGAAACTGAAGCATCAAAAGTTCCACAGGAACTTAAGGAAAAAAATCTTAACTGTGAAGGTGACAGAGCACTGGAACAGGCTGCCCGAAGAGGTTGTGGAGTCTCCTTCTCTGGAGTTCTTCAATACCCCCTTGGACACAGTCCTGTGCCGTGTGCTCTAGGTGACCCTGCGTGTGCAGGGGGGTTGGACTCTAGAAGGGTCCTCTAGAGGTCCCTTCCAACCTTAGGCATTCTGTGATTCTATGATTCTATGAACTAAAGATAAATGGCTTGGGATGAGGTACTGGTCTAGTCCAAAGGTCAGAGATCCATTTTGTTGTTGTTGTTGAAACCAATTTCATTTTTTTCTCTAATCGATAGTTTGACCCATTTGTAACTTAACCAGCTAGCATAGTGATTTGAAAAAATCACCTCTCTGGGTATGCAGTAAGTGGATGTCTCCTAACTCAGCTGCTCTGTGACTATTTCTCTTGGGCCCAAACTCAACTTTTCAGTACTCTTATATTGAAGAAAAAAAAGATTCAGGTATCAACACATACTCATTTCTAGAAAATATATCTTATGCCTTTAAAAAAAAAAGTTGTTCACGCTGTTGCTTTGAGAAAGAGATGAACTATATGAAAGATGGGAGTGTATAAAAGACCAAAGAGATCTTTATGTGAGATATCCTGAGCTTTCAAAGGCTCTGCAACATGGTTATAAAGCCGTTTAGCCACTGCCGGCAACACAAAGAATCATGGTAGTTATAAGTTGCTGCTTTTAATTCTTGAGGAAAATGCAAGGTGAGTTTTTTTTCCTTGCCAGCATCCATTCAGGTGTGCAGTTCCCATCTGTTGTAGCTAAAAAATGACTCTGACACTTTAGTCCTCAGTGTGAGTATGGATGAGGAAGATGTACCAGAGCTGTAACTTGAGTTCCAGAAAGCAAATACTGCAGGAAGAAGAATGAAGAGAAAACAGAGCACTCTTTTAATAAACATTCCCTTGTGTCTTCTAATTACTTAATCACCTTTTTGAGAAAGGTTTTTCTAGCATTTGAGGTTAGTGAGCAGAGTTGGACAAATGTTTCTACTTTTGAAGCTAATGTATGCATTTTAGCACCTTGAAATAATTCCTGCTATCACTTTTTACCTGATAAGCTTAAAGCTGCAATAAATTAGGGTCAGTGCAATTCTTTGTGGCAGTTAATATCCTCCTGTTTTTGAGGTGGAAGATGGGCTAACAAGGTGCTAAACAGTTCTACAGGAAACAGTAGTAGATCATCAAGCTCTCAGGTATTCTACCTAGTTGCTCCTTGACTGTTTTCTATTTTGAGTGGCAGAACCATCACTCACCCAGCTGGTACTGAATGCACTAAGGTAACAATATGGCTCCTGTTATGCATGAATTTAAAAAGGGGAATTGCTTTACAGAATGAATAATCTAGTAGATCTGGCTAATGGAAGTGTAAGAAAAGAGATCAAGAGCTTCATTTGTTAAGGTAAAAGTTTGTTCTTAAGTCAAGTTATGTGTTCTTCATGCTATGTATTCTCTCGAGTGAGGTAGAAGTTTGGTGCTAGCATAGGGCTGTTCTTTATATACATATATATTCCATTTTTTAATAAATAGAATTTTAGAAATGAGTTATACCTAAACTCTAAAAGCTAGGGTACTCATAAATTCTCTTGGAGAAAAGTGGCTTTTAGTTAAATGTCCAATTTAGTTCCTTCCTGATTCTAGGTAAAGCATCTCTTGAGCTTTGTGAAGTTTTGTTGTTGTTGTTGTTTTGTTTGTTTTTTGTTTTTTACCAGTAAGAGTAATGCAACAGTGGAATTCTCCCATTTCCTTCTTCCAGTTGCTTTGTTAGATGCATTGAGTAGTAATTGGCTCTATTAAATAACAGAGATCCTATGTCAGCAGTGAGTGGAGGAAATGTGTTAGGATGGATGTAATATCATGCAAAAAGATAGTGCTGTGTTTGTGGCAGCCTGGTGCATAGTGTGCTAAGTAGAGTAATTCAAGTATCTAGTATAAAACAAAGCTTCTGCTCTTCCCATAAACCTTGTTCCTGATGATGGACTATTATCTTGCAAAAATAGGTCCTCTCACTTCTGGAAAACAAGAACTATTTAAAGTGGTTTTCAGCACATTAAATCTTCATTTCTGTTGCTTTTACTTCAGATAAAGTTTCTAGCTCTGTGGGTTTTTTTTGTTTGTTTGTTTTTGTTTTTTTCCAAGATGCTAATAGTTAAACAATTTCCTAGTTGCTTACTTGGGGTAAGTTCAATGAAGTTTTTCAGGAGGTGTTCTGAATGCTCATGGGTATCCTGAAATCTTCTCTTTTTAATGATTCTCCTCCTTTGATGCAGAGTCAGAAGACTTCTAGGGAGTAAGGCAGAGCTTAGGAGCAAGAAACTGTGGGGGTCTGCCAGGTAGCTGTCACATTCCTCCTACTGGGCTTATAGATGACTACTAGTGGACTGGAAACTTGTCAGGCCTCCCTAGAGCAGAATCCTGGCTTGTTTATCCTTTGGATAAAAGTGGTGAAACAAGGGAGCTACTCTTTCTGATAGAGGGGATGAAAAAAGGTTTATATGAGAATTGGAAAAAAAAATCCAGTAGAATGAGGAGAAAGGGGTTAAGGCATTGAAATGTTCTTGCCCATCTTGGTTTTTTACTCTTGCCCCTTTATAGCTTAAGGCATTAAAATCAATCATTCTTATTTTCAGCTCGTCATATTTTTGCACTAGGTTGATGTTAGAATGTCTGGACACGGGAAGAAAAATGCAGTGCCACTACTCACAGCGAAGAAAACAAAATCAGCCAAGGCTGGTCTGCAGTTCCCAGCGGGTCGTATCTACGGGCTACTGAAGAGAGGCAACTATGTTGAGAGAGTAAGTCCTGCTGCGGCCATCTACCTGGCTGGGGTGCTGGAGTACCTGAGCGCGGAGATCCTGGAGCTGGCGGGAAACGCTGCCCAGGAGAACAAGAAAAAGAGGATCCTGCCGCGACACATCCAGCTGGCCGTGAGAAACGATGAAGAGCTGAACAAGCTGTTCTCTTGTGTGACCATTGCCCAAGGAGGGGTTATACCAAATGTTCTTCCTCAGCTTCTTCCAAAAAAGACCATGTCTCTGAAACCACGACACAAAGGTGTCCAGTCGCAGGAGTTCTAGCCCCCGCCAGGCTACTGACACTGTGCTGGGGCAGCACTGGCTTTCTCCACAGATCAGTTTGTCATGTGTGCCACCATTTTTTTGCTATAAAGTTACATATATGTATGCCTAAAAGCTTGCCAGAGTTGTTAGTGATTTTTTTCTACACATGCCCTTTAAAAGTAGAGACCCAATATAGGGTACTTTTATGATTAAACAAGTGTGCACATGACTTATGTCTGTCTTCTTTCTGTTTTTTATATAACTAGTGTTTCAAATTGAAGTTCTTTTTTAGAAGTTATCTAAGGAAATCTAATCTATTCAAAAAAAAAAGTGTGCTTGCATGTGCACAGCTGGGTTCCTCTTGATATACGTGTTTAAATGACTGCTTCATCCAACATTTGTGCCTGTGAAAAGGTTTTAAGTGTACTATCCAGTACAAGCTGATGAATCTGTGAAATTTAGACTGGTCTCTCTTGTAATGGTGATGAAGCTGATGAATAGTCTTATCTTGTATTTGGTGCTGCAGGAGGGTTGTGCTATAAATTCTTCGATGGTCATTCAATGCATATTGAACCACAAATGGTGCTAGCACAGCCTTATGTGTTTCTGTGCTTGTGGAGTGCAATTTGTGGTTTAAAGCTCTGACACTGGTGAGGTTTGTATGCTGTCCACAGAAGAAACAAGTTCTGGAAAATTCTTATGGAGCCCAAATTTAACTTTTATGTGAATGACAATGAGAATTTTCTTGGTTCTCTGGGCCTTGTTCCACTAGTGTCCAGCTCAAGAAAAGCTAGATATCAAGAAGGCAAACCAGAAAGCTTCCTTTCCAAAGGCATCCAAAACTTCTTGTGTCCTATACCTAGGTAGCTTTTCAGGCATCCATAAGTACTCTGAATTGCAACACTATGTGACAGATACTCTTCGGGACAGATGCTAATGTTGAGCTCAGTAATGTATAATTCCTGACCTCAAAGTATGAAGCTGTTAATCTATTTGCAGTACTGCAAAAAAACTAACACCTCTACTACTACATTAATATTATCATATTGTGTAATATGTATGTGTTTCAATTATTCTGTATATAGTAGGAAGGCGTAGGTTCAGGGAAAAAAGATTAGAGAACCATCTCAAGCCAGATCCTATGAGGAAAGGATTTGGGATCCAGTTTCCAGTATCTGTCTTCTGGGGAGACATTTTGTGATGGTTCTCTTTCTAGTGTACTTCCCTGGTTTTCTGGGCTTGTGGGAACCGAATTCATCCTTGTATGTAGGCAAGTTAGGCAATGTAACTGAAGAAGCTATGTAACAAGAAGCTATGAATAAGGAAGCACAGGACTGCAGTTTTCTACATGTGCATAAGCTGCAAGTGCCTGCTACAGGGAGGTTGCAGGAAACCAGCTAGGCAATGGTCTGCTGGTAAATCCTGGAGTTACTAGCTGTTATGACAGCTGGACAAAAGTGCTTTAGATCATGGATAGTAGATGAGTGTTGTTTAGAGGGCAGCTTTAAGATCAGCCATTGCTGTTTCTGTAAACATGGTCAGCTGTGGCCGGATATCGAGGGGGTGAAATGGTGTTGACCTGTATCATAAACCTGACACTGGGGCTTGGAAAGTAACAGCAGCTCTGGCTCCTTAGGGGCCTTCTGGATGTTTTTCTGTGGTAGTTTTCATCAACATCAGTAATGTGAGCTGTGTTTTGGGGAAAAAAATATTCTATGTTCCTTGTCATGCTGACCTGCCAGAAAGTTTATGTGGACTTAAACATGACAGGGCAGCCAGCACAGCAAGCTCAGGAAGCTGTGCTCTATCAGATCTAAGTGCTCCATGTGGATAGTGGGCTCTGTAGCTCCTATCTGCTAACCTGAGGGCCATTTTGGGGGCTGGTAACTCAAAGGGCTATCTAGGGGAGAGACATCACCTTCAGCAGAGGCTCACCTCTTTACCAAGAGGTGGTGTGGAGGGAAAGGATCTGAAACACCAGAGGAAGGGAGAACGTGCTAGATGAGCCAGAAGTGTTGCAGGAGTAATCTTCTGGTGGACAGGGCAGCTTCTTCAAGATCTTACAGCAGTCGGAAGCAGGAACCGATTTTCTGTCTTCACTTATCATGTACTTAAAAATAGTGTGCTTCAAAAGGATACTTCTTACGTTGGATAAAAATCCATTATCAATTTAAAAATACAATAGCATCATATCTTGTCTTCTAACAACTCATTAGCACTGTTTGTTGTCAGGTTGTGCAACGCGTATCCAAAACAAGTAACCTGATAACATCTGAAGCGTGTAGTTTGCAAAGGCTCTACTAGCAGCTGGGTGAGATTTTTCTCCTTGTTCTTCCAAGCTGACAGTTTTTTTTTTTTCTTGGTCTCTATACCTGAGCTCTCTTTAGTGTTACAACTTGCATACTTCCTTAACTTCAGGGGGCAAATTGCTTATTAAATAACTAATGTTTATTGAAGATTTTGAAGCTGTTACTGTTGTGTGTTAGAAATGTGAGGAAATAATTGTTTTACTTATACTTTACTTATACAAGCAGCTCATTAGACTCCCAGACAACAAGAGTGTGTGGGAGTCAATAGAACAGCAGTTTCTGGGACTGCAGTGAAAATTGTCTTCTCTCCAGCTTTATCAAAATATGTTACTTTTTATTTAGCGCTGGACACAGCATCTGTGAAATATTCTTGCCAATAGTATCATGATTGGGTTTTCTTAATTGTTCTACCCAGGAAAGAAAAGTCCACTTAAGCTCAGTTAGCAATGACTTGAACATCTATTACGTCAGTGACCACTTGGCACTCTGGGAGAGGAGACAGTCATATTCTTAGAAATGATTAACCAATGAATCAGTAGAAGGTACAAGTAAACCCTGTGTTATCTGTGTGGTCTGATCTGCCTTGGAAACAGGGAATGGAGGAATTGGTCACAAGCTATGTGAAAATTTAGTTGGAATTTAAATGTATTTGAGGATATAAGATAATCAAAGACCATTCACTGCTCTTTTGCATAGACTTGCAAGTGATGGCATCCTTTGCCAGAGTGCAAGCTCTCTGGAGGGCCATGCTAAGGAAGGTACATACATCTTCTCAGCTACTCCTTGATTTGGGAGCACTACTTTTCTTCCTAAGCATCAGAACTTAGACATCTTTCTACCTGTACCAACAGATGTTTGCTGAAGCAGACTAAGACTTGTTTTGGCTCATGTTCAGTCTTTTGGACTCACTGCTGTCACCTTCTCAGTCCCAGGAGTGATTGTGTACAAATCCAAGGAAACAGCCTCTGGAGCCTGAGGGCTACTCTCTTAAGAAGCAACCTTATCCAAGAGCTGTCCAGCCAGCAGAGAGCTTGTGGTAGCTGAAGGGACTGTGCAGAATCAGCACAGTAATGGGAAGAGGGAGCCTGACTCTTAGTCAGTGGTTAGCTAAGTCGGCAGGGATGATGATGTTTTCTCTTTGATGTCCAACTCTGATGCGACCTCAGCTCATGGTTCTGATTCTAGATACTGTGCCACATAGTGAAAAATGGCAGAGTAATAGGCCTAATTTCCACAGTACAGAATGGAGGCAAGAGAAGTGCAAATTAGAATGTGGAAATAGTTGTTCTTCATCTAGACCAGAGGAAAAACTCCTCATTTTTTCTCCTTGCAGTATGCACTGTATCCTGGGTGCTATCTAAGCTGGAATCAAAGGCATAAGCAAGCAGTGATGGAACTCAATTATTGAAGATTCTTAGAGTGTTTCAGGCATGCATAGAGTGCAGTGAACTGCTTGAACTAGGAAACATTTTTTTTTTATATAATATGGGCTCCTCTATTCATTTAAACTTCTTGCAGTTGCTTGATGAGGCTTAAATAATACTTTGCTAGCTGAATTAATGGAGGAAAGTGCATGCTACTGTAAGGGAACTCAAACATAGCCCCTGCATCTGTTGAGGAAACATTAAGCATCTGTCATACATCCCATCCTTCCTTCTTCCTTCCTTCCTCAAGTTTTAACATCACTTCTCGTTTCATATTTGATTTTCTTTTTCTTGGCTCTTCTATCAATGTTGTTGTTACTCATCTGCTAATTCACTGGGCATCTAACCAAATTCTTTGGGGTAATACTTACATTTAGCCACTCTCTGGAACAAGATTCAGTAATAAACCCAGGAAATGTTCCTCAGAGCTTCCTGTTTATTAATCTGGCAAGGAAGGGTTAAAGTAAAATCAGGTGTTTTGAGAAATGGAGGTGGAGGGCTTATGAAATGGGTGAAAGGAGATGGCAGTAGTGATGTAAAAAGAGACATGTAGATGATAATGCAAAGGGTGTCATAAATATCCCTGGGGAATGAAAGCAAATTTTAGTGTGTGGAGCAGCATTTGGTGATAGAATAAAATAAAACAAGAATCATTTCCTTTGTGGGAGAGATTACTGGTTGATGTTCTTTGGTTTCCCTTGCAAAGGTTATCAAGCAAGATGAATGTCAGAGCACTCTCCAGTCACTTGAGCTGTGTATTTATACCTGCATGTACCATTACCTACTCTCCAGGACAACTGATATTTTTTCCTGACGTATTCTTTTTTTCCACCATACTTGTTAAAAGTTAATGTAGATCATTAAGCTTAGTACCAGTCCTGGCAGGGGCCACCAACAGATATAATGTCTGCTACTGAAGATCAAATGAATATAGTTATGGTCCTTCATTGCTGCTTCATAACACATCAGCAGAGAAATGATAGCTTTTCAGAAGCCTGGGGATACAGGAAAGTTTTTCCATTACAAGTTGTACTACTATGAACAGGAAGAATGAGGAACCAGGGTATATGCATGTGGTTTTGCAAGGCATTTAAATATGCCTTGAAGACTACTTAAACATTTACTGGAGCAGGCTAAACACACTGATAAATAATGATGTATTTTAGAAAGTGAAGAGATCCTTTAAGTGTAAATTTAAATTTAAGAATTAATTTGCTCACTTAAATACAAGAGAATCTTAATGGAAAATCTTACTAGTGCATAACAATAATATCATTCTTTATTC